GGTAAGATCGGCCCTGAGGGGCAATGAATGGACGACTTATAAATCCTATAATCCGACTACGGCGTGGTGACAACGCAAAACTAGTAGAGAAAGCCAGCGACTAACGACGGGGGTTGCATCTTCAAGATATCCCGCATCGGTGCGAAAGCGCGCCAGATCGCGCGGACGTTTAGGCAGCGCACAAAAAGATGGTCGGACGTTTCGCGGGCTTGCAGAGAGGGCAGTGGCGAGCCTCGGAACTCTGAAAGTGTAAGTTGGACCGGACTGCTACGGTACTAGCGGTACGCACGGCTTCCGCTCTGCAGTGTCCAGAATGTCCGAGGAAAACTCGAGGCAATTTCGGCGACCGGTCCGCTTGTACCGGATACCTGCATATTATCCGGACTAGGAGTGATGGTCTAATTTTCGATTGTCAAGATTCGAGATGCAATATAAAATACAGTGCCTCGTTCTTTTTAATGAGTATATCCTTCTCTTTGTATGCTCTAGCGCAAACTTTGAATTCAAATACATCAATTTAATCACAGCGTGGCGTAACCATCATTTTTAGCCACGCTAGTGACTGGTCTTGTCGGCCATGCCCCGCGCCAAGGCCGGTCGCCGCAACACGCTCGCCAAGGAGGCCTCGTGCAACGAGGTGCAGCAGGCAAGCCCGACCAAGCCCAGCGCTCTTCGGCGGCCGCGCGGCGATCTCGCGCACGAAATGCAGGCCATGAGCCTTGCGTCCGAGGCCAAGAGCCGGAGGCGGCAATGCCACTTGGTGGTGCTCGCCACCGAAGCCAAGGCCGGCGTGGTCAAGATCGCGTACGCAGACGCTAGCTCGTACCGTGGCCAAGTCCTTCCTGGCTCTAGCCCGCCACAGCGTCACGGCAAAGGCACGTTTGAAGCCCACGACGGCGACGTGCTCGAGGGCTCCTGGAAGGACGACCGGCTGCACGGGTATTGCATACCTCTAGCTTGTCATTCGCTTACATATGCTATCTAGCTTTGGCACGCGCATCTTCTCGCGCACGGGTGACCGCCACGAAGGTATGTACTACAAGGACAAGCGCCATGGCCGAGGCACATACCTCTGGAGCAACGGCGACAAATTCGTCGGTGAGTTCTACAACGGACGGGTGCGATGAGCGAACACCTCCGACGCGTCCGCTGATGAAATGCTCGCACAGATGCACGGGCCGGGCATCTTGATCGCGGCCAACGGCGACACCTTTGAAGGTACGAGCGCATTTCCCAATCATATCGTCGTCTTATCCGACGGTGCTAGGCGAGTGGACCAAGGGTGCGGTCGCCTCCGGTGTGCTCACGTCGGCCAGCGGCGATGTCCTCGCGGGCCACGACCATGCCTCCTCTGCCTGGCACGACGGGCGCTTCACCGGCGTCGGTCGCAAGCTCTTCCGCAACGGCGATTCGTATCTCGGGTCGTTCGTCGCGAGCGTCCTCTCTGGCCTTGGCACCTACACGTGGGCGAATGGAGATGTGTACCAAGGCGAGATGACCGCCAACAAGATGCATGGGCGCGGTGCGGTATCGTACGCGGGCGGGCGCTACGACGGCGCGTTCGCTCGCGGCGTGTACCACGGGTATGGTCGACGCACGTATGCGTCCGGAGCCGTCTACGAAGGCCACTTTGAGCACGGCGCCCGGCACGGATTTGGCAAGTACCAATGGATCGACGGCGAGGTGTACCAAGGCGAATGGGCCCACGACCGGCCGCATGGCATCGGCGTCTGGTCCAGCGACGACCGCTTCTTCCATGGTGGCTGGCGCCGCGGCGTGCCGCACGGACCGGGCGCCTACGTCGACCAAGTGACAAAAGAAGCGACGTACGCCGAGTTCTCGCTCGGCACGAGTGCAGACGGCCGCCTTGTTATACCCGAGCTCCTTCTCGACGCATAATGTGGTCTCTGAAAGAGTGTATGTGGCAGTCGTTCGATGTCGCTTGTTGAGTTGTCTCTGGTTCAAAAGCGTCTTCTGGGCTCGTTAGCGGACGAAGCGATGTATGATGAGACCATTCTCTGGTGACGTCGAACGATGACGACATCTTCACTCGTCTAGAACGCGTCTTGCTGCGTCGGCACTCGACCTCCTCCCTCATGTGCTTGAACATCATCCAGCACCTCGGAGCAAAACCGAGCTGCAGCGTTAGCCAACCACCAAGGAATCGGTACTTGTTAGACCAATAACTGCTAGGGTCCAAACCGCAAGATAACGCACTGGCATATATTCTATACGATGTATGAGACAAACTTATGGACTGTGCAGTCGTGGTCTTCGGGATTACGGCGCCTGGGTGATCGCCGCCCAGTGGTCGTGCTCGGTGAGGTACGAGAATGGATCGTGCGACTCGTTTGTGCTGGGCACATACTCGATGACCTCCAGGATCGGCTTGACTCTCTCCGTCCCAACCAATGTCGTCAAGAACGCCGCTGCCATATCAATGCCCGCCGTGACGCCAGAGCTCGTCCAAATGTTGCCGTCAACGACCCAGCGCGCTTGCTTTACCCACTGGATGGCGCTCGAGCCGAAACTCTGGATGTGCTGGAAGGCGAGCTTGTTGGTCGTCGCACGCTTCCCGTCGAGAAGCCCCGACGCTGCGAGGAAGCTCGAGCCCGTGCAAACGCTCAGAATGAACGTTGCAGATTCCGCACGGGCGCGGACAAAGGCGAGGTATGCCGGGTCTTTGGCAAATACGTCCGTGCCAAGGCCACCTACACGCGCGAGCCAATAATGACGTTGGAGTTCAAAATGCAGTCGTGGGTGTACCAGGGAGCAAGAGGATGTCAATGCGCGGCGCCGACTCGAAGCTGTGCGAGGCCACCATCGGCGTGCCAGCCATCGGCGGGTTGGTCCACATCGTGCCTCTGTGCTGAGAGATCGTGACGGTATCAAACACGTCCGGCAGCATGTCGAAGAGCTGCAAAGGTCCTATTAACACACCGTGTGGGAAGACGACAAGGCCACAATTCAACGCACCGGCAACGTCCATGATGGTGTAGCCGTCAAAGAGGAGAACGCCGACCGTTAGCTTTGGCATATTCGACTCGAGTCGACGCGGTGCAATTGGAAAATGACAGCACGGCTAAGACGGCCACCAAGTGCACCGAGTCCTGGCTTTGCCATGGTGTCCTTACATCGGCGCCGATTGCTCGATCCATCGCTCGGCGTCATCCTTTTATCGAATGCGTCTCGATTGCCCCGACATACCCTGGGATTCGGCGGGGAGTCTCCGCGGATTGTGACAGTTATGAGAAATAGCGTGCAGGGCTAGGGCCTCGGATCGTTTTCATGACGCAAGCGGTCAAGTTGAGCGATCAACGAAGAACGTGTGGCGATTACCGAGCGAAAGGCGTGTATGCATACACCTACCGTAGTGCAACGGTGTGCACTGCAGTCTTTAGAGCATGCGTTGGACGGGACCCGAGGGGCAATTGCACAAGGCGCCGGAGCCAAGCTGCCCTAACCCCGCTCGAAGGACATGCAGGAAGCTGCGATGAGAGGAAGTATCGGCAGCAGCAGGTCTCTCCATGGCGTCCCTGCTGCGCTCTCAATCCTGCGTCAACGCTAAGGTGCAATCGCCAGATAGGGGAACGCGGCTTCCATTTACGCAAATAGATATTATAATAAATGCGCAGCCTAATGCTAATCTATCAGACTAGGCCTTGCATTTATCATCAAACATCTTCCAAGCAAAGGCGTTCCTCTTTCCGTCACCTACTGACCGCTCTGCTTGGGCATCTCCTCGCACCGAGTGGGCGCTTAGAGGGAAGGGAAAGCGTTCGTGTCGGCGACGTTGGGGGCCTTCGACGACTTCTTGGGGGCAGCGGCGGCACCACGGCCACGGCCACCGTCACGGCCGGCGCCACGGCCACCCTCGCGGGGGCGCCACGGCCACCACGGCCGCCACGGCCACCCTCACGTTCCTCGCGGGGGCCGAGACAGGGGCGACGGAGAAGCCAACGTCCGTGAGGAGCGTCTTCTTGCGGCCCGACGTCTTCTTGGTGAAGACCTTCTCGTACGACGACTCGATGAAGTCGGGGGTCTTGCCGTCCTTGGTGAGGAGGGCAGCGTCCGAGAACTCGTTCGTGACGGCGCGGATCTCGACTTCGCCGAAGAGCTCGGTCGACGAGCGGGCCTGCTTCTTCTGGGCGAGGTATTCGTCGAGCGTCAAGGTCTTCTCCTCTTCCTCGACAACGACCTCGGCGACCTCCTCGACGGCCTCGTCGGCGACGACGCCCTCCTGGATCTCGGCCTCGGCAGCCTGCTCCGACTTGTCGGCCTCGTTGCCCCAGTTGTGGCCACCGCCACCCGACTTCGAGACCTCCTTGCCACGGCCCGTGCCGCTGCGGCGGTCGAACGAGCGCTTCGGGCGGTCGCCGCGCTCACCCTGGTGGGCGTGCGAGCGGTCCGGGCGTTCACCGCGCTCGCGTTCGTTGCGGAGGTTGGTGCCGGTCGAGCCTTCCGGGCGGTCGGCA